CGCCTCCTTCCGAGTAAGTTTGTAAACAGGAGCTGGATCCTTACTAAAACTGGGTAAAGGGTTGCCGAGCTGTCACGTTTGGCGAAGAACGCCTGTGTCCGAGAGCTCCGTTTAGCACGGGAAAGAATCCTGCCAATAAAAAAGCCATGTGCTGCGCCGCACCTTTCCAGAACAGGAGATGCAACGGCAAGTACGGACATGAAAGTAACCGTGCAAGATCAAGAAAGGAACCCCGTTTGGAGGTAGGGATTGAGTGCTAAGATGATAAGCTGCTGCATTGGCCGGGAATCGGACCCGGGTCTCCCGCGTGGCAGGCGAGAATTCTACCACTGAACCACCAATGCTTCACACAGGGCTCTGCCATGGTGCCGAATCCCGAAAAAGAAAGAAAAAAAAAAACCTTACTTTGGGTTTTGCCAAAGGAGAAAATGTTCAATCGCTGACTTACGGTCAGTCAGACCTAGGCCGTCTGCCTTGCAGGCAAATGTTGTAACGCTTAGCAACACAGGCAGGGGTAAGGTGTAGCTCTCAGTCCCAGCCTGTGTTTTGCCTTAATTGTCCTACCTAGTGTCGCCTCCTTCCAAGTAAGTTTGTAAACAGGAGCTGGATTGTTACTAAAACTGGGTAAAGGGTTGCCGAGCTGTCACGTTTGGCGAAGAACGCCTGTGTCCGAGAGCTCCGTTTAGCACGGGAAAGAATCCTGCCAATAAAAAATCCATGTGCTGCGCTGCACCTTTCCAGAACAGGAGATGCAACGGCAAGTACGGACATGAAAGTAACCGCGCAAGATCAAGAAAAGAACCCGTTTGGAGGTAGGGTTTGAGCGCTAAGATGACAAGCTGCTGCATTGGCTGGGAATCGGACCCGGGTCTCCCGCGTGGCAGGTGAGAATTCTACCACTGAACCACCAATGCTTCACACAGGGCTCTGCCATGGTGCCGAATCCCGAAAAAGAAAAAAAAAAAAAAACCTTACTTTGGGTTTTGCCAAAGGAGAAAATGTTCAGTCGCTGACTTACGGTCAGTCAGACCTAGGCCGTCTGCCTTGCAGGCAAATGTTGTAACGCTTAGCAACACAGGCACGGGTAAGGTGTAGCTCTCAGTCCCAGCCTGTGTTTTGCCTTAATTGTCCTACCTAGTGTCGCCTCCTTCCGAGTAAGTTTGTAAACAGGAGCTGGATCCTTACTAAAACTGGGTAAAGGGTTGCCGAGCTGTCACGTTTGGCGAAGAACGCCTGTGTCCGAGAGCTCCGTTTAGCACGGGAAAGAATCCTGCCAATAAAAAAGCCATGCGCTGCGCCGCACCTTTCCAGAACAGGAGATGCAACGGCAAGTACGGACATGAAAGTAACCGCGCAAGATCAAGAAAGGAACCCCGTTTGGAGGTAGGGTTTGAGCGCTAAGATGATAAGCTGCTGCATTGGCCGGGAATCGGACCCGGGTCTCCCGCGTGGCAGGCGAGAATTCTACCACTGAACCACCAATGCTTCACACAGAGCTCTGCCATGGTGCCGAATCCCGAAAAAGAAAAAAAAAAAAAAACCTTCCTTTGGGTTTTGCCAAAGGAGAAAATGTTCAATCGCTGACTTACGGTCAGTCAGACCTAGGCCGTCTGCCTTGCAGGCAAATGTTGTAACGCTTAGCAACACAGGCAGGGGCAAGGTGTAGCTCTCATTCCCAGCCTGTGTTTTGCCTTAATTGTCCTACCTAGTGTCGCCTCCTTCCGAGTAAGTTTGTAAACAGGAGCTGGATCCTTACTAAAACTGGGTAAAGAGTTGCCGAGCTATCACGTTTGGCGAAGAACGCCTGTGTCCGAGAGCTCCGTTTAGCACGGGAAAGAATCCTGCCAATAAAAAAGCCATGTGCTGCGCCGCACCTTTCCAGAATAAGAGATGCAACGGCAAGTACGGACATGAAAGTAACCGCGCAAGATCAAGAAAGGAACCCCGTTTGGAGGTAGGGTTTGAGCGCTAAGATGATAAGCTGCTGCATTGGCCGGGAATCGGACCCGGTCTCCCGCGCGTGGCAGGCGAGAATTCTACCACTGAACCACCAATGCTTCACACAGGGCTCTGCCATGGTGCCGAATCCCAAAAAAGAAAGAAAAAAAAACCTTACTTTGGGTTTTGCCAAAGGAGAAAATGTTCAATCGCTGACTTACGGTCAGTCAGACCTAGGCCGTCTGCCTTGCAGGCAAATGTTGTAACGCTTAGCAACACAGGCAGGGGCAAGGTGTAGCTCTCATTCCCAGCCTGTGTTTTGCCTTAATTGTCCTACCTAGTGTCGCCTCCTTCCGAGTAAGTTTGTAAACAGGAGCTGGATCCTTACTAAAACTGGGTAAAGGGTTGCCGAGCTGTCACGTTTGGCGAAGAACGCCTGTGTCCGAGAGCTCCGTTTAGCACGGGAAAGAATCCTGCCAATAAAAAAGCCATGTGCTGCGCCGCACCTTTCCAGAATAAGAGATGCAACGGCAAGTACGGACATGAAAGTAACCGCGCAAGATCAAGAAAGGAACCCCGTTTGGAGGTAGGGTTTGAGCGCTAAGATGATAAGCTGCTGCATTGGCCGGGAATCGGACCCGGGTCTCCCGCGTGGCAGGCGAGAATTCTACCACTGAACCACCAATGCTTCACACAGGGCTCTGCCATGGTGCCGAATCCCGAAAAAGAAAGAAAAAAAAAAACCTTACTTTGGGTTTTGCCAAAGGAGAAAATGTTCAGTTGCTGACTTACGGTCAGTCAGACCTAGGCCGTCTGCCTTGCAGGCAAATGTTGTAACGCTTAGCAACACAGGCAGGGGTAAGGTGTAGCTCTCAGTCCCAGCCTGTGTTTTGCCTTAATTGTCCTACCTAGTGTCGCCTCCTTCCAAGTAAGCTTGTAAACAGGAGCTGGATCCTTACTAAAACTGGGTAAAGGGTTGCCGAGCTGTCACGTTTGGCGAAGAACGCCTGTGTCCGAGAGCTCCGTTTAGCACGGGAAAGAATCCTGCCAATAAAAAAGCCATGTGCTGCGCTGCACCTTTCCAGAACAGGAGATGCAACGGCAAGTACGGACATGAAAGTAACCGCGCAAGATCAAGAAAAGAACCCGTTTGGAGGTAGGGTTTGAGCGCTAAGATGATAAGCTGCTGCATTGGCCGGGAATCGGACCCGGGTCTCCCGCATGGCAGGCGAGAATTCTACCACTGAACCACCAATGCTTCACACAAGGCTCTGCCATGGTGCCGAATCCCGAAAAAGAAAAAAAAAAAAACCTTACTTTGGGTTTTGCCAAAGGAGAAAATGTTCAGTCGCTGACTTACGGTCAGTCAGACCTAGGCCGTCTGCCTTGCAGGCAAATGTTGTAACGCTTAGCAACTCAGGCAGGGGTAAGGTGTAGCTCTCAGTCCCAGCCTGTGTTTTGCCTTAATTGTCCTACCTAGTGTCGCCTCCTTCCAAGTAAGTTTGTAAACAGGAGCTGGATCCTTACTAAAACTGGGTAAAGGGTTGCCGAGCTGTCACGTTTGGCGAAGAACGCCTGTGTCCGAGAGCTCCGTTTAGCACGGGAAAGAATCCTGCCAATAAAAAAGCCATGCACTGCACCTTTCCAGAACAGGAGATGCAACGGCAAGTACGGACATGAAAGTAACCGCGCAAGATCTAGAAAGGAACCCTGTTTGGAGGTAGGGTTTGAGCGCTAAGATGATAAGCTGCTGCATTGGCCGGGAATCGGACCCGGGTCTCCCGCGTGGCAGGCGAGAATTCTACCACTGAACCACCAAGGCTTCACACAGGGCTCTACCATGGTGCCGAATCCTGAAAAAGAAAGAAAAAAAAAAACCTTACTTTGGGTTTTGCCAAAGGAGAAAATGTTGTTTTGTGTTTTGCCTTAATTTTCCCACCTAGTCTCACCTCCCTCCGAGTAAGTCTGGAAACAGGATCCTGATCCTCAGTGAGGTTGGATAAAGCTTGTCAAAGCTGTCACGTTTGCGTATACTCTCCCATGCGTTTCCAACAGACAGATGGTGACCTCGTGGCGCAACGGTAGCGCGTCTGACTCCAGATCAGAAGGGTGTGTGTTCAAATCACGTCGGGGTCAAAGTGGTCTTGCATGTTGCCTTTGAATGCTTTTCTTTGTTGAGATGGAACACAGTGTCTTGAACCAGTTATGGTTGAAATGAGGTTTCATGGACCCTGAGTGGGGTGGGGCTACACTCAGCAGCCAGTCGTCAACCTCCTCGAACCAATGGAAAATGGCCTGCTCTCCACGGTCAGTGTCGTCATTGGTCCAAATCATTCTGTCACTGATACCGAATGGTGGCTCCTCCCACTCGTGGTCTAATCAAACTTCACACGTCCATCCTCAACTCTGCCTGCCACAAAAACGCTTCACACAGGGCTCTGCCATGGTGCCGAATCCCGAAAAAGAAAGAAAAAAAAACCTTCCTTTGGGTTTTGCCAAAGGAGAAAATGTTCAGTCGCTGACTTACGGTCAGTCAGACCTAGGCCGTCTGCCTTGCAGGCAAATGTTGTAACGCTTAGCAACACAGGCAGGGGTAAGGTGTAGCTCTCAGTCCCAGCCTGTGTTTTGCCTTAATTGTCCTACCTAGTGTCGCCTCCTTCCGAGTAAGTTTGTAAACAGGAGCTGGATCCTTACTAAAACTGGGTAAAGGGTTCGCGAGCTGTCACGTATGGCGAAAAACGCCTGCGTCCGAGAGCGCCAGTTAGCACGGGAAAGAATCCTGCCAATAAACAAGCTAGTGCTGTGCCGCACCTTTCCAGAACAGGAGATGCAACGGCAAGTACGGAAACGAAACTAACCGCGCAAGATCAAGAAAGGAACCCGTTTGCAGGTGGAGTTTGAGCTCTAAGAGAAAGAATCCTGCCAATAAACAAGCCATGCGTTGCGCTGGACCTTTCCAGAAGTGGAGAGGCAATGGCAAAAACGGACATGAAAGTAATCTCGCAAGATCAAGAAAGGAACCCGTTTGGAGGTAGGGTTTGAGCACAAAGATGAAATGCTGCTCCATTGGCCAGGAATCGGACGTGGGTCTCCCATGTGGCAGGCGAAAATTGTACCACTGAACCACCAATGCTTCACACAAGGGTTTGTCATGGTGTGACACAACACACAGAATATTTCATGCTTAACTTTGTTTCAACAAAGAAAATATGTGATATGAACAACAATTTCAAATGTTTTTTATGAAAATACAAAAAGTATTAGTTATTCACCATTAGTCACATTTCCAGACCAATTTTGGTAAAGCAATAAAAAACATGAACAACAATGAAATATAAAGAAGTAAGAAAAGAAAAACAATGACCTTTCAGTTTGTTTGCAATTTTAATCAAACTTAACTATCTAATTAACATTAATTTAATTAAACTTTTGAAAACCAAATACACATTTTACATTTAGGTGGACGTAAGCTGACACTGCCTTGCCATAACCAACTCACTATTAAAAAAGCTCTGAAGAAAATACAGAAAACAGAATGGACTGGCAACATTTTAGCTAGATGTTAATTTGAATAAAATATAAAAATTTACTGAAAATTAATTGTTGTCATAACTGTGTGTTCGATCACTTGAAAATAAACCAACGTAATAATCTTCTTATTTTTATCATGTAACTAGTTAACATGTTTTCTTCTTCTATTATGTTACAACCATGAAAACTACACCTCCTTATGTAGTTCAGTTGAAAGATTTGCTGAATGAAATGGTTTAGAGACCAAGTCAATATGAATAAATATTACCCGATTCATTTTCCTAACCCTTAAAGCACAGTATTTTTTTGATCTGCTTTCATGTAAAAAATCAAACCCACTACTTCAGAGTCAAAACCAGAGGAAAAAGTGTAGGACAAATATGCATATCCATATGTTGTCTTGGTAGTACAAACATTCTGCACAATTCAGTTGTCACATAATGAATAGACATGCACTGATTTTTCTTTGGGTGCCATACCACATGCAACAATAAGCTTTGGTTCCAGAATACTATGTTCTACGGAAGAGAGGAAAGTTTTCACCCCCTGTCCCTCTCCTTGCAGGGAGAGAAATGACAACTGCTGATGGCTGGAGTTGTGGCAGAAACCAAAAAACAATGATCACAGTCAGGATAGTCAGAGGGTAAACAGGCTTTTTTTTCTCTCAGTTCCCTTAGCACACCACTACACCAGGAAGACAATCATATTGCAGATATAATAAAATAAACGTAAATACATGAGAGCAATATAAAGAGTGTTAAGTTAAAGTCAGTGATTACCTCCTGTAAGTGCTTTCCCCAGGATTGGAGAAAGTCTTCATTACTGTATGCAATTACAGTGCTGATTCACACTAATACAAACAGAAATATATGTGGGTACAGACATACATACATACATACATATATATATACATACATACATAGAGCTGCGTCAGCATTCACTAACAAAACATTTGATGGACTGTTTTTTAACCATCTGCTTTTTTGTCCAACAATTTGTGCCACATTTAAGTCTCATTTTCTCTACATGTTGAAACAATTTACTACCACATTTAAACCCCAAATACAAAATATCTTAACCTTTCCCATGTATTAAGATTGTACTTGCAAAATATGAGCATAGTGACACTTTCGAGGAGTGTATTTAGACACCGGAAACTTATCAAAAATGATGTCAAAATTACAGTTTTATCTAAGGGCTGAATCCAGGGTTACTTAAGACACAGTCAGGAATACTTTCCCAGACTTTTGGACCCCACTGTATCTTTTTTAAGAGTTTTGCACTTTGGGTTTATTTGTATCCAGACCTGAGAGCTCCAGGCACTTAAGTGCTGAAATAGACATTTTAAAATTGCGAATCACAGTGTATACCTGATGAACATTTTGCACCATACTAATTTTCCTGTATTCAGTGGTGTAATTAAGCATTGGGTCTGTTCCTTCATTGGCATTAATATAATCTCTTCGTTTTGGTGTTTTGGGAGTTTACACACAAGTGACTAAATCAGTTCAGATTCAGTTCAAATTTCAACTTCAACTAAGTTCTGATGATTTCCAGACCACTCAAACCACAATATATGTTAATAAATATATGGAAAAAGTTGTATAAATTATTGAAAAATGTAAACTTTCATATATTTTCTCTGATAGAAGAGAATAATTATAGTGTCACCAGGTAATTATTTATTCACAAAGCATTTATACCAAAATTCACAAACAATACATTTACTGGCAGTTTACTTGGAATTCTGACATCAATTTATGGAGGGAGACCAAACGTTACAGTTATTAAAGTGTGAATTCATTGAAGCTGGTCATTCCAGCAATTTGTGAGAAGAAAGCAAAAACCATTTGAAAAAAGGTTATGAAAGGATAAACCAAAATGAAACACCATTCAGATAAAGACAAGTCAAGAAATTCTTTAAAAATATATATTGTTTCAAAATGTATAAATAAAAATTTGTGGAAGCAAAATCTGATCATTTAAAAATATTTCTATATAATACTCTAATTACTGGAAATAATTCACTCCAAGTTATGTAATGCGATTGACAAATTATGATGGGTATGTTGCATTTTGCAAAAACTATATTATATGTAATCATAAAATCAAAAATAATTAATGATGAACTTGGAAAAATCTGAGTGGATTTTCAAAAGGCTTGATAGCTCAGACCTGCAGGTTGCTATTATGATGAAATAATGTTTGAGAAACGGCTAAATTAATTAATGCAGTCAATTTTCTGTGCTTTCTTTCTAGAATTTTTTAAGAGTAATCTTGCGTAAATAAGAGACTGATCATCAACTTGCTTTACACATAGAAATATCTTCACATGCATTTTTTAAGATCATGAAATCAGCATTACAGAAGACTGCACTATTGATCAAATGAAAATATTCAATTATAAATTGACTACTGATTTACACTTTACATTGTATTTTTCTTAAAAATGATAAATCCAGAAATGCCCTGAAAACATTCACTCAATCCTGGACAGCTGAGGCTGAAAGTTCAGATTAGTACAAAACGCTTGTGAATTAGCCACAGATGCCCTTGTTTCAGAAAAGTTTCAGAAAACTCTTACCAGAAGGTTTTCATCTCTCTCAGGCCCCTCCCTTCAGCAGGGCTGCAAGTGTGTAGAGGAGAGCCCAACATTTACTTGGAATCACACTTAACTGGTGCATAACTCAGTTTTTAATTTTGCGCTAAATGCATAATATGACCTTGACTGACTTCACCAGTGCAATATCACAGAATGCTACTTAATGTAAACATATTTACTCTTAAACAGAATAGACTTTAATGAAATAAGGCACTTAAAAATGAAATTCACCCTTGGAGTAAATCTACAGGGGTGGGAGCTACCCTCCATTCCCAATGTGATGTCTTTCAAACAGGGAGGATAAGGTATGTAGTGATATGGTATTCCCTTTTAAGTTAGAGAAAGCAGGGCCACAAGGATTATTAAAAGTGCAACAAAGTCCAACATGGGGGGGTCATTGCTGGTCTTCCACAAATGAAAATTAGAATATATTTTATATCTATAAATACAATGTATTTTGCTTATCTGTTCTAGTTTTATACCCATTCACACTACTTCTGTGTACAGATCAGCTTTAAATACAATAGTTTAAATACTAATGGTTTTTGTATTCATCCTTGCACAATCATTTGATTTAGCTAATGCAAGTAATAACATGGTGACAAGAGCACCCTCAGTATGTTTAGTAAATCGAACAAAACTGAACAATTACCAGTGCCTTAATATAACATATTGAGCTATAGGTGGTGAACATCACCAGAGCAAATAAGGGACAGGTCCATGCAAATCAGAAGCTAGCACAGGTCTGGCTAATACATTAGGTTTGCACATTTATTACATATAAAATGTATGGTTGTATGTAATCATGGCATAACAAGCTGTATTAAAATATCTCAGAGATAAAATATGGGCCACTGTTGGACCATAGGTGTGTAACAGCTGTACCTTCCAATATTCCACTGGCAAGAGTGGGTATGGTAATTACTAGTGAAGAACAACAGAACAACAACCATTCTCCAGGACTACAACACCTGCACATTCATATGAAATAAACTGCAAAGCAGATGAGCAACCTTCGATCGACTTTGGATCTGAGAGTGAGAGTGAACAGTATACAGAAATGGTTGTGGCACCACAATATCTGATTAATTCGTAAGAGTTCCCACTTTTTGTTCAAACCAACACTTGCTGATAATATCACAGAAATATATAAAGCAAGAAAATAAAATGACAAAAAAGATACACAGTATTTAGATTTTCAGAGAATTTACAATTAAAATGTATGCAGTAAAATATATTCAGCAGTTTTATACAGTCAATGAGAAGGTGGTCTATGATCACAAACTTTACAATTTCTTTAAAATACAACTTGGCATCAAATTTGAATTTGTTGAAAAGGTTGGAAACTTGTAAGTGCTGGAGACCGTGATCCACAACATTTTTGTTACAACTTTTAGTTACATGGAATTAGTCTGTTAATTTGCTGTTATAATCATGGTCAGCACTTTAATGAGGCTGCTGAAGACCAGGCTCTGATATATACCCTCAATGTTCACTGGCTGCAAATGAAAATTATTTTAGGGAAAGCACTTCCTGTTGCGATTATTTTAGGCACTGAGGACTTCTATTTTTGTTTGACTGTTAATCAGATATGATTTCAACTAAATGCATACAACCCACGGTGCTTTAATTAAATGGGAGGAGCATCACGCCACAGATGAGATGAGGGTTTGGAGTGTAGGTAATCATCAAGGCTGTCACCCCTCAGTGAAGATGGAAGATAGCTGACTCGGGCAGCGGTCCAGTGCAGTGACCTGCAGGAAGCTGCTGTCATCTGTCATACCTCGCATGGGATCTCCTAAAAAGTCCTGGTATCCTCCCTGGAGGTCATACACTATGAAACACACAGATATAGGGGCAGTGACCCTATTAAACCCATGTACCATATAGGTCCACTTTCATTTTTATTTAGCAATTTTTAAAAAATAAAGATTGCCTTGTAAATGTGAAGTGTCTCATTCAATCAACAAACATGTTCTTTATATGTGCCTTTTTGTTTG